TTTATTACTAGGTAGATTACCTTCCATCGTTTCTAGAAATACAGATACAGAAAACATTAAAAAAAAAAAATTCCTGTGACATCTTTTTTGCAATTGTACCGAAAGTGGCTTACTATTGAAGTCTGATAGCTTTTTTCTAGTGACTAGGCGCGTACTGTGGGGTAGCGCGTGATGTGATGTGTAAGTGACAAGTTGGCAGTGTCGTTCACTGTATAGATGTCAATGCTGTGCTATTTAAAACAAATCTGTAGAGCTAAACTAGGTGGTGTAAACAAGGTCAATTGTCTTTGTGCGTATTGGCATCTGTGATATCCTCCGCTTCCTTGGTGTTAGTTACAAATCATATTGTCATTAGAAGTTTACCACATTGAGCCATTTAAGACAGAATTGGGTGAAAAGGCATTATTGACTTTTTACTTTAAGCTTAACGTGATACTGTCATTGCAGAATCTGAATTATGGTCGCCCCTGGTGATGGATGCCCTCTAAAAACATCCTCTGTAACATGTGGAGAAGATTTTATGATCGTATCCATTCTAAATTGGTTTGAATTAGATTGTCGGGATATAAATAATAACCCTTTTAAATGAAGCTTTTTAAAGTCTAAATGAAATGTGAAGTCAACAGTGTTGTTCCCCTCCACTTGTTAGACTATATTGATAAGGTTGCATCATTGAACTTAAACCTCCAAATGGTGCAGCATTACTTTTGTGAATTTACCCACCGGATTTTCCGATTAAAAGCGCTAGCTAGGGTTTGACTGAGGGTTTGTATGCACTAAGCTCCTGCTTGTTTTGCTCAGGACAAAACAGGTCACTCTAAAAAATGAACAAACTATTCTAGAAGAGATGTAGGGGATGGCAGCTCTGTTCATTTTTTCCCGCCCTTATTTTTATGTCATAAAGGGCTTCAATCCACACTCAGAAAGACACACAGCAAGACCACGTAGAATTACAATCATCAACTGCTGCCAGCAGCGCTCCTATTGTGCCAAGTGTCGCATCACTCTCCTCTGAAAAGGAATTTAACAGTGGAGTTAAACGAAAGTAGTAGAAACGTGAACAGTATGCACTTCATGGGGATCTCACTCTCACGCTGGTCAGAATGTCTTACAGTGTCGGCGAGGTGTTAATCTGCAGTCACTCAAAAACTACGCCTCAGCAAAACTCCTGGGTGCTGGTTCTACTGTCTGTGTGCAAGTATCCTATCCTCAAAACGCTTAGCTCTCTACATTGACTGGTTAACTGTGGGAAAATATATATCTGACTCTTGACATAGCCCAGTATCGATGTTGGCGTCCTTATTGCTGTGGCAGTCTTGTGGAGTGAATCTTTTTCGTGTCAAGTGTCTTTTAAGGTGTTCTAGCAACGCCGTCGACCAATCTCAATCTCCGCTAGAGATGACGACTCTCTTTCTCACACATACAGGTGTATAGTATGTAGCTACAGTAGGTAATAAAGACCATTGTGAAAAAGTGACCCTTAATATGCAACTCAGTGGAAAGGTGTGAAAGAGTAGATGTAAGAATAATCAATATTGTCAAAGTGACTATGGTCTGTTATTTAATAATTCTTGCTGTTTTGTAGTTTTTTTTGTAAAATGTGTTTTTTATTTCGCCCTCAGACTTTTGAAATGGAAGAGCAATTGGCCCTTGTTTATAGTAGCTAACATTAAACAGTGTTTTAAAGGAATCGTGGGACCTTACTCACTCATTTCTCTGGTCTAAAAGTATCTGATTTACAGGATCCATGAATTGGACTTGAATATCTGACTGAAAGCTATTATATATTAATGTTTGTACACTGAGTGAAATGGTTGTTACAATAGATTCTGTCACAAGGGCCTCTTGCAATATCGTATTTTCTTTGGTATGCGTGTGTGCGTGTGTGTTTTGTACATTTGAGGTTCCTCTGCTGCTACACCAGTCATTAATGCTCGTTGTTTGCTGTAGCATCATCCACAGCATTTCTGTTCTCATTATGTGTTGGGTGTGTTTTTTTAATTGATCTTAACACTGTAATTTGTTCTGCAGATTTAATTTTTAATTGGTTATGGCTTTTTTTCTTCTATTTTTTGTTTTGTTTTTACAAGCAACAAGGTAGAGAGGAAAAATAACAGCACTTGTGTTGCAGATGAATTTAATAGCTCTTACCACATTGGCTTTTTTCATGAAATTATGCTTTGAAAACAGCCGACTGTGCAGGTTTCTTGCTCTTACTCCCTGGAGTAGGACTGTGTTTCAAAGGTATAAGGATCTGACTAAAGCGTGTAATGCAAAGTAAATTATCTGTCTTTGTTATTTTTCTGTATGGGTTGTAATAAAATATTGCAGTACTTTGTATGAAAACAGACAATAGTTAATTGTAACTATTTATAAATTAAATTATTGTACTTTTTGCAATCTGTAGATAAGTATTCATATATACAGTAACAACTGTGGATTTAAACGTGATTCTGAGGTGTCTAAGTTATTGATGTATATATTGTATGTTTGTTGATACAGCTTACTTTATTTTCTATAAGACCAATAAAATGTTTTGGAAAATGATTGTATGCCCTACTACTTTGTCTTTTGAGGCTTTTAAACACTGTTGAAATGGGGTTTTATCATATTCTGTGGCGTCATTGACCCAGTTTGAAACCAGTAAAAATAAACTAGTGGGGAAGGCTCTCTGCCGTCCAGGGTGGGTTTTAGAAGACAGCGATCATTTAGATGGCACGATTTCTTTTTCTGTGATCCAAAAAAAGCCATTGGGCGACCCACTTTGGCTAACCTCAGTGGACGTATTTTTGGCCCGACACGAGTAAAACATTAGAGTCATGAAGGATGTCTAGGTGTGCTTGTCCTAGATTAGGAGGAGTAGTGAGTTAGTCATCTGTGCTCCCTGTGGGCCTCCTAAACCCCCTCTGTCTCCTTGCACCTCATCAAACATCAGCAGCGTTTCAACCCCAGCACATTCAAAACACATCTCGAGAGAACACGGGGAGACAAAGAGACAGATGGCTGAAGATGAGCTAAATCTTACCCCTCCATCCTGCAGGGCAAGTCTAACCCCCAGTGCCTCTGTACCCGCACCAATGCAGCGTGGTATTGTTCCCCCCTTCTCCTAAATTGAAGAGGCTCCTACAAGTTTGTGTGACCTGTGCCTTAAAAACAGGCTCCTCTCCTCCTCTGGATGCCTGCCCCAGACAACCGGATGGCCTCTGAAGAGTTGATTAATTTGGTGGGTTGGGTTAAGGTAAGCTAGTGGGCAATCTAGGACAGCATTCTTCATCTTCACCCACTTCTGCAGCAGGTGCCTGCCCCACTTCTCAGATCGCAGCTCCGCTGTACAATTAATGTTGCCATCCCCATCAGCAAGGACGTTCATTTAGCATGTCTACCCTGCCAGAGCTTGGCACGGGGCCCCGCTCTGCAAATGGCAGCATGGCAGAGGACATGTCTGTTTATAAGAGGTGTTAGGTGAGAAGTGCATTTCTCCTTGATCACATCAGCATAATGGTTCTTATTCTCCTAACACTTTTTTTTACAAATTCAGAATCATCGCCTACAAGCCAGATAAAGAACTCCTGACCACGGGAGAGACAAGACAGAAGACACCAGGATATTAAATATGACTGCTTGTGTGGAGTTAACCTTGCCCCAGTTTATATGCAATACGTGGGTCTGGGTTTCCCTCTGCTGGTGCCTCTGTGTAAATACTATGTGAGATTTAACAGGGTTTTTCCACAAGATGACGCCAAACACTCCTAACAGAAGGATTTCCCCTCCAATGCACATCTTTATCAAACAGGTAAGTCATTTATCACCCAACTTGTTGCATTTTGAAACTATGACTATCACCCAAATGTACACATTATGTTGTTATTATAGTCCAGGGCTGGTCCTTATTGAGATTTTAGGATTAGGAATATCTGTGCAATGTTATACAAACTAATAACAGCAATGCAGTAAAGGTATGTGTTCAGATTTGGTTGACTAAAACATTGCTCAACATCGTTTTGAGTGCATGGTTGTACTGGACTATAACACACATCTTTCACTTAAAATAAAACACACCACAAAATTATCTTTACACGGACTGAGGATAGTGAGCACTGCAATCTTTACTAAAATAAAGATGAACTGCAGCCTGCAGGTCTGATGGGTTGTATCATTTCATTTGTATTGATTCCACATAAAATATGTAAGTGTAGATATATGTCGTCACTATTATGGCCTATTATGTCTTTGGCAAGTGTTTATGTATGGCCTATATTTTAATTTATACATTTAAATGCATTTATTTATTAGATTAGACTAGATTACATTCACCTTTATTGTCATTGCACAACGAAATGTGTTTGCATCCAACCAGAAAGTGGAAATAGTAGTAAAGTGCATGCTGTTTCAATACATTCACATAACAAACTATGTTGTAGTGTACATGTATATTTATATGAATAAATATTCTAATCATAATTGTACTTTTATATTAGGCTATTATATCATTCTTATTGATACATTTCCACGAAGCTAAAGATTATCTCCAACACTAGGCTAATTATTTTGTCAAAGCATGTTTAAATACCTTAAAGATTAAAGATTAGCACATTTTATCTTTGTTATAGTTGTTATTTTACAGGGGTAACTTGCTGAAAATTGAAGTGAACATACAGACCAAACATTGGCCTCTCATCAAAGACAGCTTTGGCAGACAGCCTGCCATATCTGTGGGAATCCAGATATTGTCACATGACCGAGGAAATTCGCCGCTATTATGTAACAACATGTCGGCTGCTTGCACCGGCCACTCATCGTACGATTCAGCCTGCGTCAAGCTTGCCATCAAGTCATTATTTTCATGTTCGGTATTTTCAAAATAAAACCAGTGACGACCAATATGTGTTGGAAGGACTTTTATTAACAGGACTTCCTTTTCTTTGGGATGTATCTGCTTTCTTCGGCCGACTTGACGTAGCGCGTCGTGCATCGTGCGTCGTTGCGTCGCGGGTCGAGGAGGCGTTGGCGCATCGCACGACTGCTGCCGCTGGTGCTGCTGCTGCGGACACACAACCCGGCTGTCCTGCACTGAAACTGGGGACGCAACTGACACTGTCACCATCTTAACTGGAGGGGCTCGCTCTGTGGATACAGTTGCACTTTAATTTATCACTCACCAGCTTCACCACAATGATCCAAAACGGTCATCACAACCACCAAGTGAGCACGGCAGCCGGGAAAGACGCAGGGACGACCCCCGGAGCTGCAGCCTGCAGTCCCGAGAAGAGGAGGAGAAGAATCCGGCTGTGGTGTGACGGCTGGTGAGTAATTTACCGGATGAATGATGGTGGGATGAAGATGGTAACAACGTTGGTTGGTCGTACGCATCGAGCCCGTGTGGATGAATGTGTCAGCCTGTGTTATCATCCACCGCCGGGACAGGCCTGCTGCACAGCTCTCACATGACTGCTGCTCCATTCTTCAGAGACATCCGTGTACACACAACTTTTAGTTGAATAGTTTCCTTTATATATATACTATCATGAGAGTTGCAATGACCATACATATAGTCTCTGTGGATCACGATGTATTATCATATTGCATTACTTTTTTTTTTAAATTACCACTGGGGCATCATAGTCTCAATTGTTCTCCTCAGGACAGATTTACATTGATCTTTACTGCTGCATTTTATCACACTGTCATGTAGATGGAGCCTTACTATGACCAGCGATGTGAATACTCCATGTGTATGCTGGAAATAACATAGTATAGTAAGTGCTTTAGATACAAGTGTCTGTCAAATCATTTTTAAATTTTTTTAAAACACAATTAACATTTCGCCAGTAAGGTGGCGAAATGTCTAAAGTTGTACATATGTTATACTCAAAATCAATGGCTGTGGCCACAAAATGTTTCACTGTTTCATCCTCTAAACTGTTCTCATTGAATGAATTTAACTCATAATAACTGACTAATACTGGTAGGAAATAGGGTTAGCTTAAGGATAGCTTCACAACGTATAATTATCCAGATCTAAACTTTGGGACAAAACCAAGAAGGTCATACTGCCACAGAGATGTTAAGCTGGTGATACAATGAAGTTTAAGTATAGGTAAAGCAAAATTAGTTTAATTCACTGCTAAATATGGCTGACCGTATCAATTCTATACATTTTAAAACCAGATTAATTACAGCACATGCACCATTTCTTAGTTTCAGGGTTCAGGTATGTTGCATGCTGTTGCAGTGTTGCCTCACTGTCACTGTGATAACTGAATATAACAATGAGTCACTGTTAACATTGTTAGTAACATCTGTTCTTCATACTCAAACTTTGTATCTTACACGCACAGAATGATAACGTACACATACATTTTTTAAATAAATACTTAATTGCTTTGAAAATGTATTTACAATTGATAGACTGTGATGTTCAAACCCAGAACAATAACACACTATACACCTCAGATCACTTGTTTACCAGTTCCACTCTGAACCTACTTAGTTTGACTATTCAAGGTATTACTTTCATGAAGACATAATGACAGCTCCACAAACAAGGTGTCTTCTTTCAGCAGTGTAATGGAATAAAAACAATTATGATAGAGTTGAGCAAGGCGCTCACAGAGCACCAGGCACGGCCTTTAATGCAATACAGGTGATTAATGTTAACACAGCTGTGGGAAGGGCAAGGCTAACCAGAAATTGCTCTTGTGGTCACATCAGTTGAAAAACAATCACATCAAACGCCAAAAACAAAGACAGCTTTTTTCTATTGTGCTCCTCCAGCTAAATGTCTAATATTATAGTTTTTAGACTAAATGTATTTACATTTAAGCATCAGTGTATCGCCCAACTTGATTGATGACCACTCTTCATGTGAGGGACATGCCTAATGATTCTGAACACACTGAACAGGTTTGATGGACAGCAGATGTGTCAGCTGTATATACCTCACAAATTTAGAGTAACTGATATATTGAAAGACTTTTTATAAATGTATTGCCAACTATTTTGACAACCGATTATTCATTTGAGACACTGTTTCCAGCCTGTCAAAATCAAGGTGATTGAATGCCTTTCATTTGAAATTATAAATGGCATGGTTCACAATTTTTACGATGCATAAAACTATACATGGATAGTGAAAGTAATTGTTAGCTGCAGCTCTAGAACTGCCTTCTCTGTGAGAAACACCAAGCCCTGGTGGACAGTCTGGCTCCATGGTGCAGTGGAAAAATAAATGTTTTGAATTTCTGTGCATGAAGGCCAGGATTATGGTGTCTTTCTCTAGTAGAATTCCCGCTATTTAGGTGGGGCTGCCTGTCCTTGCTTTGATGGAATGTTGCAGAATAATTGGGATGCCAGAATATTAACCGGTAGGATGAGCATGCAAAGAGAGCCAATGTCAACAGAGCCCATGTCATTAACCCACTCCAACCCCTCCGGCCCACACCTGCTAGGGCCATTATATCTCGTCACTGAGCACATTGTTTCCCAAAGCTCTGCTGGACACCACCACTCTCTTACTGACATCCAGCATTGTCAGCAGTATGTTAGGAAAATCCCAAGAAAAGAGCATAGTCACTTCATCTGTTGAGACATCTTTGACTCTGCCCCTTCTCCTCTGCACAAAGCAACGATTTGTCACAATGAAAAGAGGTGATGGGGGCTAAAGATCAGTTCTCAGAGAAGCATCATCACTAGAGTGTAAGATCCACTTCCACTGTGTTTCAGCTGAGGGAGTGTATCCAAACATGACTATAAAAGAGCTATTTAAAGCGTCAGTGAAGGTCAAATTAAGCGACCTTGGGTATCATGAAAGGCGCTATAGAAATCCAAGTTATTATTATTATTATTATTAAATGATTCAATAAAGAAACAAAAACAATACACCCTACTTTTAGTTTTTCTTCAGGTATTTTAAGGTATTTTGTCTGTCTGGTGTTGTTCTTGAGAGGTGCTGTTTAGGTGTCCGTTAACAGGCTAAGCTAATTAATATTTCATCATCCCACAGTCATGATCCAACCCTGCTAAAAAATACAACAGGAATACGGTAACACACATTGGGCATCCAGCTAGTGTAACACTCACAGAAACAGCCTCCTGGTCTTATATAACTCCGTCTGGGTCTCCAAGTTTCCTTATTCATCCACCTCCAAATGCTCCCCCTGACATTCTGCCGACCCTGCACTATCCCCTCAGACCTGAACACGTGGATCCCATTTTCACACATTGACAGTACACACAGAAAATCTTGCTTCCTCCTAAACAAGCCTCTTCTTGTATTTTTCAAGTAGTCGATCGATACCGAATCACATAGACAAGCCCTGCAGCATAGTAATGGTTGTTTTTGTGTTACAATACACTCAAGTGCAGTCCAGGCTGTTTTCAGTCAGGCTGTGTATAGTGACACCGCAGATGCTGTCTTTCATTAGCATAGCCTGGGGCTGAAAACAACATGAGCTTCTGTTACTGTTGTGGCTGTGTACATACTGCAGCTCTGGCAGTGCTCATCTGTTTTCTTATTGATTCTTCAAAATGCTATTTATAGTGGTGTTTTGCACTTGACTCCTGGGAGAGCTCACGTGTAATTTAATGTACTAGAGAGGACACAGATGCCAATTGTTTTTTACTTCAGTCATCTAAAACTTTTTTTTAATTAATTATTCTTCAAGTTAATTGCTCTCACATTTGCTAATGGTTATAGTTGCTACAGTAACTTAATGACTCTGTGGTCAGATCTTAATAAAGTCAATGCATCTTCAGTGGCACCTGGAGACACTTTCATCAGTCATTGAACTTTCCTCTCTTTTTTTGTTCATGTTTAATTAGAGCAGAAAGAAAAATGACTGATGTCAGCTGTTGGCAGTAGTACTAGTGATGGAAGGCTAGTGCCCATCTGTTTTCTATTACTATGCTAGATTACCATGTTACAATCTCCGTCTCCAATCTGTGCTAATCTAATTATCTACAGATGGTACCATAGCCTGGGTGGAGTGAGATGGGAGGAAAAACACACTGTGCTTTTGCCTTTTATATGTTTAGACTTTTATCAGACCACATGATTACATTGGTGGGTCGATAATATCAGGAATATCAGCGTTTTAGCATGATCTGTTGCATACATAATCAGTTGGTGATTGCTTTTTATTGATTTATGCAGTGTTTTGATTCTTTTTTTGGTCAAATTTACTGCAAGTTGTCAGAACACCTTGTTGGTGTACTTACATACACTCATCTGAGTGTTGAAGAGAAGCTGCTGATTTTAACTTTGAGACCAGTGTTAAACTCACCACAATGCTTCATTCTCCATATGTGTTTGACTGGAATCAAGCATGGTGTACTGAAAAAGAGTTGTGCAATGTGTTTTCATTTTTATACAAATAGCAACTACCTTACCTTATTACTGTATTTCAAGACATGCTTTGTCTTACAGCTCCTGTAACTCGCTACCTTGCTGTAACTTTAATGTGACATCTTATCTTCTTATTCTCCTAGCTATGACATGGTTCATTATGGCCACTCCAACCAGCTGCGACAGGCCAAGGCCATGGGAGATTACCTCATCGTTGGAGTACACACAGATAGTAAGACTCAGAACTATGGACTTAAGTTGTTGAATTAAAGCCTTCTCTTTAAAGGAATACACCAAAACGGATCATTTGAATCTCAATTGCTCACCGTGTGTTACCTTGAATCTGTAAAGAAAACCTCTGCATTCTACATGTTGAATAAAAAAAATAAAAAAATACAGTCTTTATCAATTGGAGTAAATGTTTAATTCCATCCAAGGGAAAATACTTAGGTTGAAAAAAGTGTGTGTTTGAAAACTACTGTTCATTTAAATGGATAAATAACAGTTGGGTTACAGTGCACATGTCGAGTGAAAGGTTCTGAACAAATGTGTTGAACCTAATCTTCTCTGTTCACCATGGAGGCTAGACAGAAAGATACAACGTTTTCTCCAAGAATGCAAGGACACATGATAAGTCACTGATTGACAAATGAACATTTTGAGGGTGGAGTATTCCTTTGAGGTCTAGCTCATCTGTACATGCTGTTTTAATAACTCTGAAGCTCCCTCCCTTCTCTTGCACGATTCAGCCTGTATCTGCTGAGTCTGGAGATCCATGCTACCTGTAGCCTCTGCTTATGTTCCTCACGTTTCTCTGTAAAGCGACCTTGAGGTTATGAAAGGCGCTATATAAATCCAAGTTATTATTATTATTATTAAGTTAGTTGACCTAGTTTTGACAGTAGTTCAACGACTCAGTGATTTTGCCTCACCCTCCTATGGAACACTTTTCTGAAACTATGAGACACCCGAATGATTTCATAGTCAGTGCAAGCAAATATCAGTAATCTATCCCTCTACATAAGTGATAATACATTATGGCATTATGTCTCTCTTTTCCAACAGTATCCTTAACGTGTACATGTTTTGTTTTCAAGGTGAGATTGCGAAGCACAAGGGTCCTCCCGTCTTCACTCAGGCAGAAAGATACAAGATGGTGCGGGCCATAAAATGGGTGGATGAGGTTGTGGAAGGAGCGCCTTACGTCACCACCCTCCAGACCCTCGACAAGTACAACTGTGACTTCTGTGTGCACGGAGGTACAGGATATCACTATCTCATGTCTTCATTCAGACATAAAAACAAATAAAGTCATAAACACTTCCAAGTAATTAGTTGATATAACAGTCCTTGATTCATTTCTACACGCATATGTCATTAATGCTGTTATTTCAGATGATATAACACTAACAGTTGATGGAAAAGACACATACGAAGAGGTGAAGAAGTCAGGGCGGTACAGGTGAGTTCCCCTAGCAGGAGATTCAATAAGACAGGATGAGATGCTCTCTCTGTGTCTCTGAAAGTGTTTCATTGTGTGTTATGTTGTTCCAGGGAGTGTAAGAGAACCCAGGGAGTTTCAACTACAGATCTGGTCGGCAGGATGCTACTGATGACCAAAGCACACCACAGCAACATTGTGAGTACAACCTTGTTCTCTCTGTATGCGCCTATTAAACAGCACACGTCTAATACAACCTCTCTTTCTTTCTTTAGGATAGTTCAGACTATCAGCAGCACACAGACAACTTTGGAAAGGTAGGTACCAAACATATTCACAGCTTGTTTTAGGCCATCAACTAGTTATTATCAAACCCTCAGCTTACTACCAAACGTTCAATAATAATATATTTTAAATTATTTGCTTGATCTTCCTCTTACTTAACAGTTTGGTCATTCAAGTAGTGGCTATGTGTCCAGATGTCAACCATTCTTGCACAAAGGCCTCTACTGGGGGCCCACTTTATAATCAAGTTATAGGCCTTGCCAATAAAACAGTCAATGCCACTTCTGTTCCTGGATGGTTCAAGTAGCTTAGAGTCAACATGCTGGGGATTTAAATAGTGTGATGGCAGTAGAGGGTCACTTTGCATTTGAACATTTAAGAATTTGGCGATGGTTGAATAAATGTGCTGGGGATTTGTGTTAGCTATAAAGCAAAGGTGACATTGCTACTTGCACCACTAGGTGGCGATAATGTAGCGTTGTGATTATTTTTGGCACACTGCTTGTACTCATTGTGCCTGTTTCTGGATTACATGGTCAGAAGGGCCACAGTCCCTGGACAGGGGTGTCTCAGTTCCTGCAGACTTCACAGAAGATCATCCAGTTTGCTTCAGGACAAGAGCCCCAACCTGGAGACACAATTATCTACGTGGCAGGAGCCTTTGACCTCTTCCGTATCTTTTAAGAACCTCACTCTAAATATTGTTGGATTTCTGAACTTTTTGATTAAACTTAACTCACCGCCATTTCTGAACTAGTGGTATCATGCACAAATTGTGTAAAATATTCATAATTATATGATTTGTTGCTAGAAAAATCATTAGCTTTTAAAAAAATGCCTAGTCCTTGACTTGTGCCCATTAAGACATTGGCCATGTGGACTTCCTAGAAGCAGTGCATAAGCTCGCAGAAAAGCCATACATTATAGTTGGGTTGCACTTTGATCAAGTGAGTCACCTCGTATTTCTTTTCACCTTTATGATGCATTTACTTCCTGCCTGAGTCTAGTGTTGACATTTCACTTTTGCATTTTCTCTTTGATCATATTTTTCAGGAGGTGAACCGCTACAAAGGGAAAAACTACCCCATTATGAATGTCCATGAGAGAACGCTCAGCGTGCTGGCCTGTCGAGTAGGTTCTTCTTCCACCATCAAAACAGTGCAATGCAGAATTATTATTGATCTGCAAACAATTTGTGTGCAATCGGTGCAATTTCTTTTTGTGTCTTTACAGTATGTGTCAGAAGTGGTGATTGGTGCGCCCTTTGCAGTCACAAAAGATTTACTGGACCATTTCAAGGTGAATACAAGCAATTACAGTATCCTCATCACTATATTCTCTTCAATTAAGGATAAATAAAACAGCAACATATTTGTCCCCATGCAGGTGGATCTTGTATGCCATGGGAAGACAGTAATATATCCTGACAAGGATGGATCCGACCCTTATGCTGTAAGAGTCCAATCACAGTCACATATAGCTTTTTTTAAAACATCTTTATGAAATACTATGATCTGCAGAGATGATGAATCACATTCATATGGCATTTTTTTCATTCATTTCCAGGAGCCGAGGAGAAAAGAAATCCTGCGGACTGTTGACAGTGAGAACAGCCTGACTACAGATGCCATTGTGCAAAGAATAATTAAAAACAGGTGAACTTCTCGGTAGAAATAGACCATTTTATGTTATAAACACAGGTCAAAACATATTGTTCTTAGTTTAAATAAATCGGCACTTATTAAATCGGCATAAACTATTTCATTTGTTTGGATCCAGGTTGCTATTTGAAGCAAGGAATCAGAAGAAAGAGGCCAAAGAGATTGCTGTGATCCAGGCCATGAAGCGACAAGAAGAGGAGAAAACTAAAGAAAGACCCCAGGCTGTCATGTAGGAAGGCTCTACACAAGCACCATCGACTAAGTGTCATCATAACACTGACAATTAATCTAAACTCAACATAACACTGACAATTAATCTAAACTCATGTACAATGAAATCAGCTCTTATATGTGTTATGACACCGTCAGCACAACAATCCTGGCTGATAACAGCAGTCCTTAGGGCAGCCTGTTTATAGCCAGGAGGATATAGTCTGCTGTGTGATCATCAGGTATACACTGTGTGTGTGTGTGTGTGTGTGTGTGTGTGTGTGTGTGTGTGTGTGTGTGTGTGTGTGTGTGTGTGTGTGTGTGTGTGTGTGTGTGTGTTATATTCGGCATATGCAAATACATGTTCATGTCAGTCACATATACAAACTATGAGGTTATGGACTGTAAAGGTTGGAGCAAGAAAGACAAAACGGTGTCTCTAAATGTCCTTTTTTTGCCTTCAGAAATACGAGGGGATTTGGACATATGAAGGGCAAGTGTGTGGACTTGAGATGTGGGCAGGCATTAAACTGTAACAAGGAAGTGATTTGATTAATCAATACCAGTTGCTGCTTTCTACCCAGCAATGGGTGTAGACCCACATCTGATCTATTTACTTATAAATTGTATGTACTGTATATTATAGAGTGATTACTGGCTCTCTGGATGATGCTAAAAACACTAGAGAATTGCTTCACTGAATCTAACTTGGGTTGTTTGACTGTGAGAAGCTGTTGAAACTCTTCCGGGACCTCATGTACATATCAGACCTTTCTCCAGACTGCACTGAATGCTCAGAAAGTCATCAGAACTGTTTTACATCAGAAAAGTTTAACTCAAAAAGCACATTGTCCAGACTTGCACGCCTGGCCTTTTGAGTGGAATTGTAATGTTTTCTTTAAACACTCCTTATCCTAATATATAGAACACCACAGAGTTTTAAAAGACTGCTTTTAATCATTAATTTGTTTTCTTAGTATAACTAGAGAACAATGACAGATGCTCAGTGATGTTAACTTTATCATAAAATAGACATATTACTGTCATTGAGCCCTGAACAAACATCTGTCTCTATATCAAATGGGATTAAATACTATATTTTTTGTAAATGTATATTTTACTCACACCCTCTCCATTAACTACTGTATAGATGGTTTCATATTGTTAAAAAATAATATGTATGTATGTCAAGTTGGAATGTATTCAGTGTAGAGTATAATGTATTGTGCTATTGAGATCTCCCAGTTGATTAGGAACTGATTGGACTACAGTATACTACTGCTGGTAATAACAACACTTTAATCTGAAAGGCTATGTGTCATCCCTTTTTCCCTGAAACAGAAAATGTCTTGCTATAGGAACACTTCAATGTTTTAAATTTGTTTTAATTTAGTAGGCCTACGTTAAAATGCATGGATCTTTGGACACAAAAAGGACATTTGATCAGGACGTTTTTTTCTGCGTTTTGCATCATATGAGTCACACAGGTTGGTAAATGTCAGGCCATTAAGAGGAGTTTTCTTCAGTAGCAGCTTGGTACACCGAAAAGATCTGACAGCTTTTTCCAAGAATATAAAAGTGCCTCTGCATTATGATCAATGTGAATGTCTGTTTAATCAGAACCATATCTCTTGCTGGCCTCTGCTGTTTATATAACAAGCATGCTGCAATGCTTTTAGTGACATTTAGAGAGATATTACCGCAAGCAATGTACTGTATGAGGCCAACCCAGTCTGGCATTTCGTGTTATAGTCACGAAATAAATGTAATCTATTGATTCCTGTTCACCGACACGATTTCCCCATTTTGTTCATGTCACACAGAACGAAAAGCAATGTATTTCTATTGGCAATAGAAATACATTGCTTGCTAAAATCGTTTAGGCAGTGGTGGAAGTAGGCTAGTATTGTTTTTTTGTTTAACTCAAGTAAAAGAGGCAACGGCAAAGAAATAATACTCTATCAAAAGTACAAGGCATCCATGCATGTGCCCAGTAAGTTTTCTAGTATATTTAGACGTCTGCGCACTAACGTGAAATGATGCTCTTATTTTGAAGGACAGGTGTTCTTCCTCTTAAGAGTAGCTCTGATTTTAAAAGACAGGCTGTGCACACTTGCCTCTAATTAAGCTAATTAGCCCTTCCGTGTCTTGCTAGCTCTGTTGGCAGTTCAGGCTGTGACTCAAACGACACCGTCATGTTTTGTTGTCTAAATATACTGCCAGTCCCACTGCAGGTAGAGAATTTAATCAAATTGTACAACTAATTTATAAATGGAATGCTTTCCGATACAACTAGCCATGAGAGGTTCATGGTCATAAGTAATCCTCTTTAAACGTTTTGGTTTCCTAACAGTGTAAATTATGTATTATGTAGATTGTCTTCCAATCTAAATTGACCTATGGAATAAAACTTCAGGTAGCAGTTAAAGTATAACTTTTTCTCAAATGTAAGTTTGGTAAAGTTTGTAAGTCTTTTACATGTCATTTTACATCACAAAATGTAGTAGAAATAAACGAACTAGCCTACCATTTAAAGGAGGCTAGTTAGCTTCTTTTGAGCTAGTCAAACTTGCTTGCTGTAGTCCAACTAGTTTATAGATTACATTTATGATGTATATGAGTGCCAGAAAATATTTTCTTGATGCTTCTTTTTTGAGGAATGTCATTTACAAATGTGTTAAGTTAGTTTCGTATTTTATTTAAAAGTATTCCCAAGGCATACATGTCCAAATTAAAATCTTCCTCAGGTCTGCATGGGATTGTGCCCGGATATCACAGAAGAGGGCAAAAAGGCTAAACTCCGGAGCTCTAAAATAGAGCAAGACATTTTTGAGCATGCAAGGACTGAGATGAATGTGGTGAAAATCCTCATGCTTGGTAAGTTAAAAGCATTTAAACACTACTGCAATGCATCAGGTTTCCCTCAAGTAGGCCTATTGGCCTTTTTAAATCAAATCCTTTATCTGGTTTGTGTGTTAGGAGCTGCAGAGAGCGGAAAAAGCACCCTCATCAAACAGATTAAGATTATCCACAGTCATGGCTTCTCCAAACAGGAGCTCATGAGTTTCAAGGTACTGGAGAGCTGTAAATCAAAATAAAATTAGCATTAATTTTAACACCCTGAAATAGTATCATCTGAATCTCAAACAACTTGAAGCGCATGAATTATGTGGAAAAAGTTTGATTGTCATTCCCTTCACAGGCCGCGGTACTAGACAATTTGCTGACCTCTATGCAGTTTGTTCTTCGAGGAATGGGGATGCTGAGGATTAACCTTGCTAACAAGAAAAACAAGGTAAGGAATAAAGACACCGTTTTAGATTAAAGTTCTGCAAAGTCTGTTTGCAGTGCCTCTTTGTCACACTAGATGTCAGTCTTCATCTGTATAGGCTACTACACTTGTCAGTAGAGATGATTGATAGAGATTGTACTAGTCATTATAACTTCTGATATTGAACATTGAACACCTCTCCTTTGGAATGGTCTTCCATTTCAGATCTGCAAAGCTATTTCCGTTGACTCCTTTAAAAGCAAACTCAAAACCCATCTCTTCGCATCTGTCTTCCTTTTAAACAAATTTCCATCACCTAGTTTCGGCTCATCATTACCATCACTTCAGTCGCATGCTTTTATCACATGGTAATACTTATGTTGATGTATAATGTTTATATAATTTTTATGCTATGACTTTTGTATTTTGTTTGCTTTGTACATCCCTTTGAGGCATTTCTTGAGATTTGGGGCTATAATAAATGTTGATTTGAAAGGCACAACATATTGGTCCAGTTTTACCTTCAGGCATTACATTACTTTTACATTTGGGGGAGAAAAAATGACATTGACTTCAAATGTAAATGTATATCAGGTCATCATCTAATTACCTTTTGTCCCATTTACTACAGATGCATGCTCGCTCCATCTTGTCCTGCAGTCAGTGTTTGGGAGACGACGACGAGCTGCTTCCTTTCGTGGCTCATGCCATATGTGCACTTTGGGCCGATCAAGGGGTGCGGGCAGCTGCAGCCAGAGGTTACGAGTTTGAGCTGAATGACTCTGCACTGTAGTGAGTAGAATGACCTTACTGTAAGTGACCAATTATGACAGATAGGGGAAATGTCAAGGAAAATTGCACAGTAAGAAGTGTCTCGTCACCCCTGATCAATACAGAGCAACAGTAAAGCAGGTGCTGAAAAAACCTTGTCTTCAGGAAATGATTCATGTGACATTTGTGGATCGGGATGCCTAATTGGGAGCAAATTAAAAAGCAATGTTTGCAGATATCCAGATAGATAGGGAATTAGGGTGGAGAAGATGAAACAGACTTCATTAAGGAGTCTTGTTTAATGAGAAAAGGAGACAAACGGCATCATAGGTGTGAAGCTGTTGGGTAAGGGGGAAATGGGAGAGGTTTTGTTGAAGTAGCATTAGCTTCTAATTCAAATCTTTTGATATAACTGTATTTTACAACATTACATCTCGCTGTGTGTTCTTTATACACCATTTAACAATAATAAACAATCAAAATATTAATGTCCTGTTGCAGAGCAATAAATCCATAAACTACATTTATATATTTTTCAGTTTTGCTGTTGCAGTGTAAGTGAGTAACATCAGCTGACAGGAAGTATACATGGACCAAAGCTGTTTCTAGAAAATCAGTGTAGTTAACAAGGTATTTACTAAGAAAGTTTTCCTAAAATTAGATTTTAGAAAACGGCGATATATCAACCTTGCTTGCAATATAATTGAATAGTATCATTATACGAATTGCCAGATTCTCACCAATACACATCCTAGCAGAACTTTTTTTATTTATAACCTGTGTCCTTCAGTAGTTGTGCCCTACAATTTGTTTATCAAAAAAGAAACGGCCGGCGAGTGTCATGAAATCCAAACCTTCCCACTCTGTATAGATCCTTCTGTTGAGTGTGTGTTGTGTCATCAGCTGAAGTGTGGATCATTAACTGAAGTGTGGACACATTTAGCTAAATGGCATTTTAAATTATTTATTAAAAGATACTCCAGCTAACCAGACTGACAGAAATGATGTGACGGATACATAACCGGAACTCGATTAGTTTTGCTGCTGGAGGATGATATGAATCTCCGCTGGCTGTCTTGCGGTGTTCTCACTCTGCTGGACCCCACACTGATTTCCCCCTCCAGAAATATTGGATTATACGTATCGTGACACACTTAATATACACGTCAACGTGTAAAAATACTTCTTGGACATTAGCTTTGGCATGAACCGAACTCTCAATGTTGCTGGAAGGAAATTTGAAGTTACAGGGAATTAACGATAGATATAATCTGTGTTTTAAACCTTTTAATTTATAAGGTTTCATGAATGTGAAGGGTTCATTCAACAAATGACCCTACTGCACACGTCTCACTTTGTAATACCTGACATTCTTACTTGTCTGTAGTATTAAATCAATGTTAAAAGGTTTATCTATACAACAAGGGTCTAGCATAAAAAACCTTCCTGCTGCTCGATCTTCACATCTCGTGGACAGAAGGTCAGGTTACAGCACATATTAGTGCTCTGACTAAAGAGTTTTTATAGATCATATTTGTGCTCCATAACTAGCATTTCACTCTCATAGCATTGTCAAACCCATGATGCACAGCTGGAAAACAAAAAATAAGGATACACATATTATACCTTTTTTATTTTCATCCACATATTGTTTGCCTTTCAAAAACACAATGCATGTCGGTTTCATTTAAGTACATCACTTGAGGGAATAAATCAGATTTCAAGCCGCTCCCTCTGGAATCACACAATACTTTTTCCCCATTAACACCTTTAAGCAGACTTTGTGTAAAATGAGTGCACTTCGCTTTAACTTCCTTACTATGTACATTTATCTGACAAAAGCAAAAACTGGATGTGTATCTCCTAACAATTGACTTTTGATCTTCACTAGTTGATGCAGTTTCTTTCGTTTTCTTCCATCCCCAGTTTCTTCGAGAACCTGAGTCGAATAATTTCTCCCAAATATGTTCCTATGGAGACGGATGTTCTGAGAGTGAGAGTGAGGACCTCTGGAATCATTGAGACGCAGTTTCAGCTTCATGACGTGATCTTCCGGTAAGGCTTTCTACACTGGCAGGCAAAGTCAGCAGCGGTTGCAGCTTCTTAGCTTTATGAGAGGGTTATGTTTTTGGAAAGTAAAAACCCAAACCAGAACTTATACGCCTGTATCTCACAATATTGTAACTGAACAAAAAAAGTACATTTGACTAAATGTTGGCAGTGTTGGTTTTCCTACAAGCACATTTCACACCTCTTTAATGGAATTTGAACTGAAACTGGTGACGATTCGATATGGAAATATCCACCAATAAATAACTTTTCGGAAGTCAGTGACACATTGGTTTTCCAACCAACGGTTTAACAAAGAAAACCCAAACTCTGGTTTATTGAGGACTTTAGTGTTCTTTTCCATCAGAGTTCCTTCACTGTTCATGGAGTTGGTGTACGCTCTTTACCATTTCTGCTGTCAAAGCTAGCTGCTTGTTGAGCCTCTGGAGCTTCAGCCTCGGCACCAACTCTTGAAGGGTCGCTGATAAAGATGAACTCTCCTGAGCTGAGGGAGGCAGCTGCCTGAGACTCAGACATGAAATATTAATGTCTTCACTGTGCCTGGTTATTCCAGGAATAATAACACACATGTAAAGGAAGTGTAGACATAAAGCATACAACAAAAGTCACCCTCCTTTCCCCTTGGACCTTTTTGTTTTCAGAGTAAGCA